TGGGTGTATGTATGTATGTATGTATGGATGTATGTGCGCATGAATATGCATACATTTAATTCACACATACATGTACATATATGTACATACATATACATATACATATACATATACATATACATATACATACACATACACATATACAGATGTGTGTGTATACCCGTCCACCCATCCACGCTGCATTCCTGACTAAGAGGCTCAGGGTGTTTCATCCTTGGGGTTCGCCACGGCTTAGGAGCCTGATTGAGACACCTCTGGCTCTATGTATACTCACCAGGAGACCCAAGGTAGCAGCCCTTAAAGAATTTGAAATGGAGTTCCGTAAGCTTCCCTTCTTCGTTTTTGTTTCAGATACCTCAAAGCCTTGTTCTCATATTAAGGCCCCTGTGCTCTATCTTGCTAAGTCTGAAGGGGGCTCTATTCAAGCTCCCAAATTGGCCGGAATTGAAAGTCTATCACCCTCGATCCTCAGCTTGAAGCCTGGGTTCCACGCGCAAGGTGGGCTCTATCAACAAAGCTCGTATACAGGTCTTATAAAGGTTCTGCAAGGGTTCTGCAGGAGTTTAGGTTTCTCAGGGTTCGGATGCCCCTTTGGGCGTTCTTTGGCTCCAGCTAATAAGGAGGCTGCAGCCCCAGCAAGACCAACCCAAACGAGCACACCCCGGCTGACACCAAAACCCTAACACAAGCCCTAAGCCCGTTAAGCACTAAATCCTGAACCGAAGAACCTGACGTGTAAACCTTAAATTCTACACCCGATACTGTTAGAACCAGAAGGGTTTAGGGTTTAGGAGAAGCCTGCAACCCTTCAGCAGCAGGCCCTCGCGCTCAAGGGTGTTTGGTACATTTTGTTGTGCATGAGGGCGATGTGCAATCGACAGAATTTCCACTCTCCGTCAGTGAGACGCCAGGCGGCTTCCTGGCAGTTCCCTACACTACCGCGGCAGCAGGCGGCAGTCTGTCGGGGGTGGGGTTTGGGGCTTTTGTGCTGTCGGCCTTCTGGGTTCAGGAGCAAAAGGATTTCGAAAGTCCAGACTGCGTCAATTGACAGAGCCAGTGGCTCATTCGAGCAAACCCGAGGCTGCTGTGTAGGCTTTAGGATTCGGGCTTGAGGCCCTTCCAAGACAGGGTTGGGGTCCAGGGGTTGAGATTACGGGTTCAGTTAAGGGTCTATCCGAGTCTATGTGGTACCCTTCGGTGAAGTTTCTGGTCGAGGGCTTCGCTGGGTGGGGGCTTCGCGTGCCTCCGTGACTGAAGCAAATGGGCTTGGGGCTACCTCTCGTGTCTCAACAAACTGAAAGCTGTGGTACATACACGGCTTACGGTTCAGGCCTTTCGGGGTTGCTGCGCGCACACCAAAATGAATTACACATGGACCCTGTGGCCCTCTCCCGTGCATTTGCGAAGGGCCCAGCTTTCAAAACACCAAACCCCGACAAGTTCTCGAAACTAGCGATGTGCCGAAGATTTCCGAAACACATCCTAAACCCCAAACCCTAAACCCACTTAGTCCTGACCTGCACGGCAGGATGCTTGCCATCCTCCTTGCTGACTCTTGGCAGCTCTGGCAGCTCTCGGGCCCCAGAAAATGATAATAAGCAGAATCCTTAAGGAATTGTCAAAATAATAAGAACCAGACTAGTGATCGTAGTTACTAGTAATGATAGTGATAGTATGAACAATAATATTAGTTAGTGCTTTATTGAATCTCGAGATTGAGTTGATAGTTTTTGTAGAGGGCCCTACGAGGTTTGCCGGCTTGTCCAGTTGTTGGTGCTTGACATGGACTTCCATGGATCTTTAGAATTCTACCCGCCTTTCGCGACAGGATGTCGGTTTGGATCCTTTCTTCACGGTCGAGCATCGCATGTTCGAGAGCGTGGTCACAATAGTCTTGATAGTTCTTGAGTTTGAGGAGACCTGAGACCCAAAAGTCTTGAAGACAGCGGCACGACTCTAAGGGCCTAAACCGCTAAAGACCGTTGCAGGACTCGGCCTCGTTGTTCCAGGTTTCTGTGGTTTAGCAAGCAGGATCAAGCCGGAGTGTTGTAGCGGACTTGGGTGAGGGTGTCCAGGTTTGAGATCCCTGAAGTGCATAGTTATCAGAAGGTCGTAGTTCTGTGGGGACTACAGTGGAATCTTGTTAGTCCCGGACTTAAACCCATGTTTTTCTCCCATAAACACCAAGGATGTAGAGCTTCTCCCATAACCCCCCCCAAACCCTAAACCAGAAAACCCCAAACCCTAAACCAGAAAACCCCAAACCCTAAAATCAAAACCCCAGACCCTAAACCCTAAACCCCAAGCCCATTTTCATCAAACCACAAAAAACCCTAAACTTTAAACCCCAAACGCACCAAGGATGGTAGGGCTCTGGAGTTTCATCCTTGCGCAGCCGGATACCCAGAGCCAGTGAAGGTTTCATGTTGAATCATCAGTATACTAGTCATGTTGAGGGTTTAGGGATTTTAGGGTTTAGGCTTTAGGGCTTTTAGGGTTTAGGGTTTAGGGTTAGGGCTTTTAGGTTGAGGGTTTCGGGTATGTTCCCCCTTTGTAGTCCCAGCTCCTGTCTTTGTTTTCAGCAAACCTAAACCCCTGAAGGCCAAGGCCCTAGTCTAATTCTTCAAAGTTCGGAGTTTTCAGGCTTTGCGTCCAGGGTCCAGGGCCGTTCTCTGCAGGGGTTTCAGGATTTGGCGTGTAGTGTTGAGGATTTCGGGTTTAGGGACCATTATTCAGAATTTTAAGGGCTTTCTCCAGGTTGTTTTTGGCTCAGGGTCAGGGATGGGGTTGGTGTACTGCGTTGGGGTGTTTCCGTGGCAAGCATAAGGATGAAAGGTTTGGGCTTGGGCTTGGGCTCCTTTTGCAGCAGAAGATTCATTTACAGGTTCTGGGCCATACATGGTCCATCGGCGGAAAGCAATGGAGCCACCTCCACGCGAAAATCTGTGGACCTTAATCCCCAAATCTCTGAACCTCAAACACTCAACCCCTAAGCAACCCCTACATCCTAAATCCTTATAGAAGCCTGGATGAAGCCCTTATAAACTCGTTCCGAGGGCGTTCATCGTGGTGGACGTGATCATCAGCGCCTCGAAAAAAGCTGGGAGGCCTGTCAGCTTTGCCACGGTGGCCGGGGAGAACCTCGGCTCAATCCGACATGTTTTTTGTGTTGGTTATGCACTTGCTCTTTGTTCGTTAGTTTTTTTGTTGCGATAAGGGCTGCAGGACTTTCTGGAAGCTGAGTTCATTATAAGTGGTCTTTTGCTTGGAGTTTTTTGGGGGGGCTTTCTAGGGTTTTGTGAACGGAGGGTTTGGGGTTGTAGGATTGGTGTGGGGCCGCGAGGGGTTGTAAGACGTAGGTTGCCCTTATGGAGCCCTTTTTGGTTGAGTCCCTAAACCCTATACCCTTAACCCTTAGCCCTAAGCCCCTAAACCCCTAAACCCTAAACCCCTAAACCCCAAAACCCCTAAACCCCTAAACCCTGAAACCCCAAACCCCAAAGTGTTGAGTCCCCTTTTTTGTCGAGCCCCTGAGCCTGGAAGTCTCGGACTTTGAGGACCTTCGGGCCGATCGGTGCAGCTGGCGTCTGCGGGCTGTTCCTCATGCTGATGCTGCTACTTGGTTTAGGGTTTAGGTTCTTTTTTGGTTTAGGGCTTTGGGTTTTTTTGGTTTAGGGTTTAGGGTGTAGGGGTTTTTGGTTTAGGGTTTGGGGTTTTGTTTTTTTTTGTTTAGGGGTTTGGGGTTTAGGGTTTAGGGTTTTTTTGGGGAGGGGGAGGGGAGGGAAAGGGGCGGTTGCGGGTTCTAGGGAGTCTTGGGGTGGGCTTGAAGATTTCAGGCTTTGGGGGCTTGAAGCCTCAGGGCTGTTTGGCGGTTTAAATTCGAAGGTGGCACAAGTTTTAGGTTTTGGACTTCCGTGTAGGACTTAAGATCACGTCAGGTTGAAGCAGGTTGGTTTGAGGTCTCCAGGTTAAGAGGAGCCAGGGGTTTAGTCTTGTCTATTCTGAGGGGATTTTCATCGCTTGACGCGGTCGCGGCCGCCGGCAGGCTAACATCCGTTTGTCCTTGCATTCAGAAACCTGCACTCGACTATGCCAAACCAACTTCATCAGACAACTGCTGATAGAACCTCCCAAAGCCTTAGCTCCTAGTCTTCATCCTCAGCCCCTGACTCCAAAGCTCTAGCTCCAAAAAGCCCAGAACCCAAGCTCAAACGCTTTCTGAACTGTAAGGTTGACGCACGTCTCCCAGTTTGCCAAAGGTGGCGAGCTACTGGCTTCGATGCTCCTCGACTCTTCTTCCGCCTTTGCATCCTTAAACAGTGCCAACTACTACAAATACTCTTCCACATGCTGGCACTGTTGCGACTACTACTGCTAGTAGGAGTAGGTAGGAGTGTGAGAGGAGTAGGAGTGGGAGTAGGAGTACGAGGAGGAGTACGCATAAGTTTCACTACAACCACCTGTCGCAACATGTCGCAACAGCAGTAGCTAGAAGGGAAAGCTGACCGTCACTGGCGCATGACGCAAAATGCCTCAGCCGCATGATCAAAGCATTGTTATTCTTACTCCTGGCGCAGTCGTCGTCCTCGTCGTCTCCATCGTCGTAGTGGCCTCGTGAATCTACCTTGAACAACACACAGACAAGAATCAGAAGCGAGATTGCATCAAAAGCAACCACAGAAGTGCTACTATCATGCACTAAAAGCACGAATCGAACATGAGCTCGACAGTTGCTCGCACGATGCTTACTGGGGAGGTCATGATGATCCTGACGATGGCGATGATGAGGGCGTTGTCTATGATGCTGATGGTGCTGCTGATGATGATGATGATGTTGATGATTCTGTTTGTGATTATTATCATGGTTATGGTGATGGTTACGATGCATGACGAAAATGGATTACGTTGCAGTTGTTGCTATTGTAATGGGAGGATGTGGAGGGGGGCGGCAAGGGAATCTCGCTGCCCTTCCCAATTGTCGGGTTTATATCTCATGCTTCTGGAGTAGCCGGACAAGGACAAAGATGCCTCAGTCGACTCGAAGCCGTATTGACCAAAGCTCTTTTCTCTTGTTGAATGCTTATGCAGCATGGATGCAGGCCAAGGGCTCTGTGACAAAATAGGGGAGCCAGGGAAAGCTACCCAAACAAGCTCCGAGCCCAAGCCTACCCTATATCCTAAATCCTAAGCACTCAATCCCCCTGACCCTCCCAAAAAAACCCGAACCCGACATCCCTAGATCCGAAACCCGAAAATGACGGGCTTGAGGCTTCATCTCCCGTACGCGGCTGGAGTTCTCCTCGTTGCAGCGGGGCTCTCCGGTCATCGCCCAAGAGGGACCCAGAGACGACAGCAAAGCGGTGGCCTCCAGTATCGGGTTTTAGGGTTTATAGGGTTTTGGGTTTGCTGCAATATTCTTTCGTTTTTACTTCAGGGTTCAGGCTTCATAACCCTATGGGTTCGGGCTGCATGCACGCAGCCACGCATTTAGGGTTACAGACTTTGGATCCCTCAGTCTCTGTGCTTCCTGTTCCGAAATCAGGCGCCCTGAGTCAGGGTTCAGAGTTTAGGGATTCTAAGGTTCAACCCCAATTAGACCCTGAACCCTCAACCCTGAACCCTATCGTAGATGACAAAAAACCTGAACCCCTAAACCATAAGTTTAAAACCCTGAGAAGTTCAGGGCCAGGTTTCAGGTTCAAAGTTCAGGCCCTAAGCCCAAAGTTCAAACTCTGTCTTAAGGGTGTACTGTAGGGGCCTGGGCAATTGCTAGGTGTGTTCCTTCAAGTCAGTTTCCTATTAAAGCTACAGCGTAACATACCCCAAAACCCCGCTCTCAAATATTTAAGCCCTTATACTAGGCTTTCACTCGCTTACAGTCCCTTTGTACGCAATAACTCGTTCAGCATGCCCCAACACCCTATTGAAGATTTAAGGCTCCTACACCTGGGTGGGGAACCAGGGGGAGAAGGATTCAGGGTTCAGGCACTCGAGTTGAGGATTCTCGCGCCAAGGTTCCATGCAGGGTTCTATAAGGAGCTGAAGTAGGGGCTTCTATAAGGGGTTCTATTTAAAAAAACGGAATCGAACAACTGATAGAATACTTCATGTTTTGGCTCATAAATGCCCTAAACCGCACAGCCTGGAACCTGAGCCTTGCATAGATAGTCGGCGCAGGGTTATGTTTTTGAGAGACTCCAATAAGGAAAGGGAACCTGAGCAGCCATTCTGCGAGGTTTCGCCCAGCTGGGACCTGCCAGGGTGGTGACCGGCGCAAACACGATGTTGACTGCCACTGGGCGGAGGGTTTAGGGCACTTCAGGTACTTTTGGGGTGCTTAGGGTACTTAGAGTACTTAGGGTACTGAGGGTGCATAGGCTACCTCGGGTGCTGGGTTTACCCGTAGGGCCTTGTGTCTACGATTTGTAGACAGCCACCGTGCGGATACAGGTGTTTTCTTGAAACGAAGGGTAGCTTAGGGCTGGGACTTTACAGTAATGACCCTGCTCCATAGGGCCTGCATCTGGCTCCCCAAACTTCTGAAGCTCGCGTCCTAGTACACTCTTCCTTAAACCATCCTTCCTTGGGGTTTAGGGTTTAGGGGTACACTCTTCCTTCCTTAGGGATTTGAGAAACCGAGGTCGGGTTCATGGCCGCCGTTTCTGCTCTCTTCACAGTCGGTGCCCCGCTGATGCAGTGGGATCGGCTCACTCGCTGCGACTCCCGTCGTGAAGAACGGGTTTGGTGTTTGGGGGTTTAGGTGTGCTCAAAATTAGTCCTGGTGTCTCCTTGTGGTCTTTGTTCGAATTACCGTCTCCCCCCAAGACCCTTTCTGATTATTAACGCCTCTCTATTTAGGTTGTGATTCTTTACCGAGGATCGGGAAGACCACCGAATAGGAAAAAGCATCGGTCACCAGAAATTCAGTATGCTACCAACCCAAAAGCCCCGAAGCCGAATACAGTGGCCGGAATACTTGGTAGAAGTAACCCGTTATGGTTTCTAGTTAGTCAGGCCCTGTATCTGCAGAAAACAAACCCCAATCGTCACAGCTTATAGCCGCAGATGAGCGAATGAGACCGTGGTAGCATGTTGTGAGGTGAGGCAAAGAGTCTAACGTCCCAGCAAGGCCGGTGAAGGTCTTTGGGGTTCTAGGGCTTTAGAGCTAGAGCCAGTGCCTTTATTTCCTTTATTGTTCTGGGCTTTAGGACCTTATGGCTCCCGGCGTGTGCGGTTAATGCAGATGAGGGTTTTGCGTACTTGAGGTTCTCAGGGCTCACCACTCACCACCACGGCCTTGTCTGACAAGTCTCTTCTAAGGGTTTTTCCTGGGTTGTGAACAGGGTTTTGTAAACTGAGTCTGGTGGGCTTTATCAAGGTTTGATCATAGTTTAAGGCAGTTTAAGGTTGTGTTTCAGGGTTCCCTGTGAGAGGATCTTCCATCAGGACCCCCAAACGTCCCGACACGCCTGAACCCTGGCAACACGCCTCCCCTGCAGCCTAACGACTCCTGAGTTATTTACGTTTTAGGACTTCTGAACCGTAAAGCCATAATATAGTGGAACCTAACTAATTACCTATATCGTTTGGGTGTTTCTTATTATATTCTTAAGTAAAATCAACCCCAAAACCCCTGTTCTAACTGTTAAGGCCCTTGTATTAGGCCCCAACCCGATGCTCTAGCTTGGTTTTTCAAAGTCTGAAGGAGCCTCACGACCCAAACGACCCAGCCTAATATGGCCTCTTGAACAATTACTAACATCCTCCGGCTGGCTACCTGGAAATGAGTATCTTACGATATACCCCACAGCAAAGCTCCTGTAGCATCTTCCTGGTCCCAGCCCCCTTCTCTAGGACTGGGGCGCTTGTGCCCTGGACGACTAAAGAGGATTTCGTAGTTCAGGCGGTGCTCTTCTGTGTGGCTTCAGTTTAGGGGTTAGCGTGTTTAGGCTTTGCTTGGATTCAGAGCTCATGAGATGTTGAAGACGGCAGGTTTGAGGTGTCGAGGGACCGCAGGTAGGCAAGGAGTTCCGGATTCGAAGATATCTCCAGTTTTTTTCTTAGAACGTCGAGCTCGCAGGGCCTAGTTGGCCCCAGCACAATCTGTTTGTGCCATAGTTCTCACTTGCCCCATAGCAGAGCCCTTACCTCAAAGGCACCCCAGAAGGAAGCCTGGCTAAGCGCTTATTCGGAAACCCTATGGGTCTTTCATATTCGGAGTTGGGACAACAGCCAACATAGACTAACCTGTCTCAGCTCACGCAGATGCTGTGCAAGGAATAGTCCGAAGCCCATCTGACTCCAAGGCGCGAGAACCCGTAAGACTCGACTTTCAATCAGCTGCCCTGAATAAGATCCTCGCCAATCTCAATGTGCCGTATATTATCTAGTATATATGGCTTACTATATTTAATTTACCATATGTTATGGATTTTGTCAATCTCCCCTACCCCCCCAATCCGGAGCCTTAGATGCCTTGGGACTTTTGCAGGCACGCAAGCCGTACCTTGAAAGACCCGTTTTCCAAGTGCTACTCCCTACCCCGAAGTTGCCAGACGGAACGTTGGCAGCAGATCTTCTACACGACCCTACGCCATGTTTCTGCGGCGAAGAGTTCAGGCTTGGGCCGAGCATCCCAAACCCTGAAACAGAGGAACCTAACCCTGGGACCTTAGCTCCCGAGCCCCCGAACTTCCAGATGTTCGCTGAGGTGCTGATCAGATGCCAGCAGTGCTGCAAATTTTGATCTTCTTGGAGGCCCTGGTTCGTTTTGAGACCCCAAATCCGACAGGCTTGAGGAGTTTACCGGACTTAGGGTGAAATCCTGCCGAGGACTCAGTCGAGCAATTGGTAAAAGTGCACACGAAGCTAGACTCTCGAACATGATATAGGGGTTCTCGGGATTTGTAGAGGTGGTCGGATTCGATTTCCCCACCAGGCTGGCCTGAAGCGCTCTCGAACCCTCTACACCCTAAACCCCCAGACCCCTAACCCCCCATAAACCCCGAAACCCCTAGACCCCTAAACCCTAGATCCTCCAGCCTCTGAGTGCCGAAGGTACTGCCCACCGTCTGCCGCACGGTGAACTTCGATCGTGCTCGCGCGAGACGCGTCCTGGTGGTCGGAGTCCTCCGACATCCTTGAATATTTGAGTTATGGTTCCAACAGGGTTTAGGGTTTAGGTTTTTAAAGGTTCGGTGGGGTTCTGCAGGTCTTTGTATAGTATAGGGGTTCGACACCTGCAATGGCTTTTTGGGGTATAATAGAGTATAGTGCGTCACTTGCAAATTCTCGCTATGCACTGTGTACAGTATCCCAGATCGCGTGTCCTACCAAACTCAGAAGTTTAGACCCAAATCGTAAAGCTTCAGGTATGCAGTATCAGACTAACTTCAAAGGCTAGACCACATTGCCCTCTGCATCGCTTCTGGTGCCGATTTCAGCTTGGGGAACGAGCTTGTGGACTCCCATTCAGCGGGACTTGCATGATGAATGCTGAAGAGAGACACCATGGGAACAATGAAGTGGCTGACGATACCGGGTGTCACCTTGAACCCCTCGTCCCGTGCCCCTCCATCCTAAGCCCTTGAACCCTAAGCCGAGGGTTCTGTAGCGGAGGTCTCCGACTTCTTCTGAAGACCTCCAGCCCGCAACCGTGGCTCAGGCATTAATCCTTCTGAGCCTGAACCTGGGATGGTAGGCCCCTCAGAAATTTACGGCCAGTTCTCCTAGGTGATTGCAGGGCTTGTGGAGGACAAGGTTTGTAACCCGAGAAAATGCACTTCGTTGAGTTCTGCCTGCAGAAGCTTACAGAGGCATGTGGTGAGGATTCAAGAAAGCTACGGAGCCCCTGTAGAACCCTAGCAAAACCGCATAGATAGGACCCTGCAAGAGCCTGCAAAGCCCGCTAAGAAACCCCATTTTCGAGAGGCCCTCCGATACCCAAAACCCTGAAGTTCGGGGCTTAAACACGACCCAAAAAAATGATGTCAGCACCTGGTCCTGGGTCCTCAACTGTGCCAAACTCGGCAAAAGCCGGCATAATCCTCAATGCCCCGAGGCTGGCTTGGGGTTCTAGGGCTTTAGGGCTTTCGGGTTTAGTGGTTCAGGGTTTCAGGGTGTAGTTTAGGCTTTCGGGTTTAGAGGTGTAGGGTTCAGGGTTTAGTTTATAGCTTAGGGTTTAAAGGTTTAGGGTTTAGGGTTTAGTTCATAGTTTAGGGTTTGGAAATTCAGAGTTTCGGGTTCAGTTTTATAGTTTAGGGTTTCGGGGTTCAGAGTTAAGGGTTTAGTTTATAGTTTAGGGTTCTTCGCAGAGCCTGCATTCCTGCAGCATCGGTTGGGGTTTAAGGTGTAGGGTTTAGGGTTTAGGGGCGCCATTGACCCTTACTGATCTAAACCCGAATCCCCGAATCGCAGACCTCAATTCCTAACTTTATAGCGCATGGAATTTGCAGGCAAGACGGAAACACAACATAGATCCAACGACATTCTTATTGAACGGACCCCCAGAGAAGGTACTTTGATGTTCGTGGTACCCTTGCGAAATCTACAAGCTTCCCATCACACCATAGACCCTAGCAGAACTTCTTTTTCAGCTGTTCAGAGACCCTGAATCCTAAACCCTAAACGCGCATGTAGAAATCCACGGCAAGGTCGATCCTGGGAATGGGACTTGTCGCCTGGAGTGGCGGCGCAATGTCAGATCCAGTTGAGGCAGAGCTGCCTGGTTTAGGGCTTGCTTTTGAGGGCGCGGGCCTTAACTATTAAAGGGCTTAGAGTTTACGGTAGGATTCACAGTTTAGGGCTGAGGGCTTGGAGTGGGGTTAAGGCTTGGGCGAAGGGCAAAACAGGAGCACCGAAATCAACCCTTTTGCACGGATGTTGTTGATGCTCTGGCATTTGGGGCTTACAGGGGAAACGTTATGTCAACCTTAAGCCCGAAGGACTTGGCATCCCAACTCGACCCTGAGCCCTAGAATCCCTTAGAAGCTTTGTAGAAGCAGCCCTTCCAGTAAAAAGTCTTGAGCCACTGCCCCCAAGGCTCTTCTCCCAGGCCAGGTGGGGTTTAGAGTCTAGAGTTTAGGGTTGAGGGCTTCGGGTTTAGAGGTTAGGGTTTCGGGTTTGGGGTTTTAGGGTCTGACGTTTGGGTTTCGGGTTTAGGGTTTTGGGGCCGGCCCCTGATGATTGTTTTTGAGATCCAAACCAAGAGATCAAACTGCAACTCCTTCGCAAACTGTTCTGCACCCAACGCACTGCACCTCCAAGCTGAAAGCTACTGTTGAGGATATAAAGGATGCAGTACCTTAATGACCCTAAACTATGGGAATTATGGTGCATTCCGTATTATATTTCCTGTTATGTGTAATGCAGGATTTATATCATCAACCGTAGTGTGTCAGCCTTTGCATAGGTCTTGCTACAAGCTGGCGGCGCCATTTCTGGTGTGCTCAAGGTTCGATGGCGCTTTGAGCTTTTTGTTTTCACCCAAACCCCTCAAAAGTAGCCAAAAATAATGGCCCAAAACCTACCCTAAACCCTGAACCTTTAAAAGGGCGATTATTCTACATCTATTTGGGGTCCAGGTAAGGCGCCAGGGTTAACAGTTTCGGGTTTAGGATTTAAGGTTTACGTTCAGGGTTTGATGTCTAGGGTTGAGGTTTGGACCCTGGGCATCGTTCTTTGAGTTCTTGGGGCTATTGAGCGCGCTGCTTGCAGTATTTCATCACAGGCTCATTAATAGCAACAGGCCCGATACACGACATTGCAGATGCAAAGCCCGATGCTGCGATCGACAGAAGGATTCTGTAATTCGAAGGACCAGCTCTGAAATCGCCATAACCCAAAGTCCTGAATGTCGAACATAGGCCTTGCCTAAACAGCCCCTAGCAAGGATGGTGGGCTCAGTGCTGGATCATACCCTGGGTCCCTGAAGACCTAAATCCAGCCCACTGGCTGCATGATCTGGCTGTTGCCGAAAACTAGTGGCCATATAAGGGTGCTTACAATAAGAGGTTTGCGAGAAGTGGAGGCAACCTTTTAAATGTTCTTGGTATTCCTTCATTTCGGTGGCATACTTCATCTTGCAGTCGAGCGTAGAGTAAAGGCCCAGCATCACCTTCGTAATCTCTCCCTGACATCGTGACAGCATTCTAAGCCAGCAGTCCTCCTCTTGACCGTATGTGGAGTACCGGTTACCAGCGTAAAGACAGCTTGCTCCCTTCCACCTGCCATCGTGCCTGCCAGATTCACACATTAAGATCTGCCAGTGAGCCCGTTTTTTCCAGAAACTCCGTCCGATGTCTCGTGCGGTGTAACACACATCTTTCTGACTTGGTTTAGGACCGGACAGAACATTTGGGTTGTCGACTTTGTGGTTTTGGCGGCTTTGGTACAGAAATTCAGAAATCCTCGTACATCTTGACACGCTTTACACCCGGAGCACTTTAAGCCCCTCAGCTCTAGACCTGAGATCGCCTCGGAGCTTTAAACTTAGCTAGGACAGCCCGGGAGCTTTCAAGTTTGAGCGCAGGGTGTAGGGTCTGGCTTCAGGACCCGGGGTTTGGAGTGTGGGGTCCGGACTCCAAATGTTAGGGTGTGTACTCCTGGGCTTCGGATGGGCCTCCAGATTTTCGGGTTCAGGGTTCAGGATGCGGGGGCTAAGGGCTTATAGGGCTTGGGATCGAGGGGTCCCCTGCGTCGCAGGTTCTGTCGCTTTGTGCGATCAGCACCACTGTGGTGGGATGCCCAGTGAACGCTCCAGTCTTGTCTTTGGAGTGTGTGGCGCAAGACCTTAAGCTTCAACTTTCAACCCAAACCCTGTAAACCTTAAACCCCAACCCCTAAGCCCTAACCCCCACGGCTAAGCCCCTCTCGTAGACTCCACACCCGACAAGAGGAGATGAGGCGTGAAGGCTCTCAGGGTGGTCCAGCTTGTGTTTAACCCGCGAGACAAATCTGAAACCCCTGAACCCTAGCTAGGCCGGACTTTCGACTCGAAAAGCGAGGCGTTACAGTAAGAGGCTCGGAGACGCCAGTTCATGATTCATTGTGTGATGTTGAGGCTATCATGCTCATATCAGGGTTCAGGGCTAGAGCGGCCAGAGTTTCAGGTTCAGGGTCTAGGGTTCAGGGCAAGCCCCCAAGCCGAAATCCCCTGGGTCCGGCACCCAAAATCCTAAGGCTAGGCACGAGATCTGGACCCTGAAGAGTCTAAACCCTGACTGCTAGACCCTTCACCGCGAGCCTCCAGGTAGGGACGAATCTCAGCCTGCAATCCTTCTTCAACGATGCCCCGGGTAGCCGCAACTCCTGGAGGTTGCGAGGCCCTTTGAGATCCAAAAAGGGGTTTCAAGCTTTCAGAGGCTGTGTTGTTGCTTTACAACTCTCCAGGTTCAGCTTGCTGTTGCAAGGGACCAGCATGGTGCTTCAGTTATGCTACCTCTTGGGCCGCGGGACAAAGAAACTTTCGGGAAGGAGGTTGACGTCACAGCTTGCGGTTTTTATGACCTGTGAAGAATGCGGGGCCCCTGACTGCAGCCAGAGTTTGCGTCCTCAGCCCAAGGTCTTGACATGTAGGGAGAAGCACAGCCTGTGAAGGACGCGAATGACACGAAAGATTGCCAGTAAGGATTAGGAACCTAGGCCCCCAAACCATGAACTCGAACACAAACTCTACTACTACAAAGCCCTGCCGCAAACCTCATGCCCGGAACGCCCAACCCCCAACGGTTTCATATCATTCTCTATATCTATGTCTATACCTATATCTATATCTATATCTATATCTATATCTATATCTATATCTATATCTATATACACATACACACACACATGTATATATATATATATAGCTATAGAATGTATGTGTGTATATATATATATAGGTACGTAATGATGTGGAGGTATACACATACATGTTCTCGGTATATCAAGACCCCTACATGAGACCGTGGACTCTGTCGACTCCAGGCCTCCTGAACCTCTTGGCCATTGCGGGGCCGGTGCTGCTTGCTGTGTCCTCACCGGACCGGTTGTGGGTAAGGTTAGGGAGGGGATTTTGCTTGGGATGTGGGAGTGTAGGGCTTAGGATGTGCGGTTTCGGGTTTAAAAGGATGTGGGTTACAAAGTTCGTTTTTCTGTTTAGGGGTTTGGCTTGAGGGGTTTATCTATTGGGTTGGTGCTAGGAGTAGCGCGGGCTCTGAAGCTTCATGGGATGAGAGGCTTCGGTTTCTGGTGGGGTACTTTCACCGGAGGCCGAGGACCCACTATGAAACTCTTCTAGACCCTTATAGCTCTCCCTTACCTTAGGGGCTTCAAGGTGGTGGTGGCCTGGGTACGGAACGGCATCAAGAAGTAAACCAGGTCGCCTGATCCACTTGCCGCCCTCTAATCTAAAGGGTGTCATTTCCACATTGAGTTGGTGGACTCGGCACCTCACACCCTACAAGCTGCTCTGCTTGCAATTGTTGTTCAATGCAGCTTCGTCGCACGTTGCTGATCGCGGGGCGACCGCATGACATCTCCGGCATTCAAAGCCCCGAAAGCCCCCAACAAAGCTTTGGGCGTGATCCTCAAAATGTCTCCGTGTCCTGCGCTCCTGGTTTGGCAGGACATCTTCTTTAAAGCGCTGGGCCTGCAAGGTGCCGATGTCCGGGATGCTGAGGGCTTTTCCTGGCTCGGGGGTCTGTGGCGACTTCAGGCAGGGTTGGGAGATAGTGGGAGGTTTCGTTGAATACAAGGGAGTTGTAGAGAAAGGACTTCAGGTTGTGCTTCCTGCCTTTTATTACTGAGTCGCGAGACATAAGGGGCTTATGTTCTTGGATGCTTCAGCGTCTCTAGGCCTGCAGGAAAGAGGCACTTCTTGCCACTTTTGTGATACTGATACGGTGTCCACATGTATGTCCGCAGATGCGGGAGGGAGGAATCCTGCTCGTTTGCTCCGCAGCAATCCATTCCAGGTGAGCGTAGGTTCTTTGGCAGCTCGCGGTGTGGGTCGAAACATATAGTGATCGAGCTGTATTGCTGAGGAGGATGGTGGGGACTGCTGGTGCATGCTCCGGCACCCTCAGCCGTCCACAGACCCAGCCGCCGGGGCCGGGACGCCGATGGCCATGTGTGTTCACGCCTTTATTCCTGCTGTCCATATGCGGAGGCCAGTTCCAACCGAGCAGCAGGAATTTCCAGCAAATCTCTCGCGCCAAGAGCGCATGCTGTTAAGCCGTCTTTCTGAGGCTGGCAAGAAGGGTCAGTGGTCAAGAGTGAAGCAAACGTTTGGCAAGTATGCAGGCTGTTCCGCTCCAGTATACAATGCAGCAATTGCTATTGAATATCCTGCCGCCTTCCTTGCATTGGCCGCATCGGTAAGCGGCTTGCATTGCCAATGCAAGCCGCGTACCGAGGCGGCCAATGCAAGGAAGGCGGCAGGATATTTCATAGCGTGCGTGGCCTTCCTAACATGATTCCCAACCCCGTCACCTTGCATTTGGCAGTCAAAGCGGTTGGCAAGTTGCGGTTGCCTGAAGTTGTAGACCAAATCTGGAATGAGACCAAGCAGAAGGGCTGGGTAGATGAAATCAGGGCAGCTGGTCGGATTGATGCAGCTGCCGAAATGGGCGACATTGTTGGCGCCGCAGAGGTCCTGGACTACATGCACCGGTCGGATTTGAACATTGACATAAACCATTTTCATTCAGCAATGAACGCCTGCAAAAATGCCGAGCCCCCAAGCCCATCCGCGGCCATGTACTTGTACAAGCAGCTTTGCATTGGCCGCATCGGTAAGCGGCTTGCATTGCCAATGCAAGCCGCGTACCGAGGCGGCCAATGCAAGGAAGGCGGCAGGATATTTCATAGCGTGCGTGGCCTTCCTAACATGATTCCCAACCCCGTCACCTTGCATTTGGCAGTCAAAGTGGTTGGCAAGTTGCGGTTGCCTGAAGTTGTAGACCAAATCTGGAATGAGACCAAGCAGAAGGGCTGGGTAGATGAAATCAGGGCAGCTGGTCGGATTGATGCAGCTGCCGAAATGGGCGACATTGTTTGCGCCGCAGAGGTCCTGGACTACATGCACCGGTCGGATTTGAACATTGACATAAACCACTTTCATTCAGCAATGAACGCCTGCAAAAATGCCGAGCCCCCAAGCCCATCCGCGGCCATGTACTTGTACAAGCAGCT